GAGAGAAACATCGACCAGCTGCCTCCTGCACACCCCCTACTGGGGATATGCCTGCAACCAAGGTACATGCCCTTGACGGGAATCGAACCTGGGACCCTTCAGTCCGCAGGCCGACGCTCTATCCTCTGAGCCAAACCAGTTAGGGCAAGTGTCTCCACTTTAGCCGGCCTCCCGGCCGCCCGGCCATTCTGTCCCTCCGCTCCGTCTCAGCTCCTGCCGCGCTGGCGATGGCCTCCCCTCACCCTTCCCTCCAGGGCCACACTCACGTCCACGATGAGGAAGTCGAGCCAGCACCAGGCGTTGGTGAAGTACTTCTTGAAGCCGTAGGCCACCCACTTGAGCAGCATCTCCAGCACGAAGACGTAAGTGAACATCTTGTCGGCGTATTCGAGCAGAACCTTGATGGTCTTCCGCTCCTCCAGGTAGATGTCCTCGAAGGCCTGCGGACCAGGTGGGACAAGGGCCCATGGCGTCCCGACCACGGCCAGTGCCACCCTGCCCAAGGCATCAACTCTCACAGTAACTGCCACTCAGGAGGGCGGGGGGCGGGGGGGAGGGCACAGCTGAGACGCTAGTGGAGGGGACTCGTCCAGGGTCGGCTTCGGACAGGCCAGCAAGCTCTCCCAGGAGCGTGGGCCATGGGCGGGCCAGGAAATGACCTGACGCGGTGAGTGGATAACAGGGCGGAGTGTAGTGAGAACACTTCTTCCCTCACATTACAGAGCAAGTCTCAGTCCTGGGCCAGGCATTTTGTTTAATTAATTAACTAATTAAATTTTTTTTTGCGGGGGGGTGGGACTAGGGCATTTTAAAGACCTTTCTAGAACTTGCTGAGCTCCCATTTTAACGAGGGAGGGCGTGCAGGCTCAGCTCACAGCCCTCTGCAGGAAACAACATAAAACTGGTTCTGTTTTCACTCTCCTGTATGCCGTTACCTACTTTTCATAGGAAAGAATATTGGTTTCTGATTGCAACAATCATTAGAAGTTTCCTTTAGATTACAGTGGTTCTTAACCTTCCGGCCCTTTAAATACAGTGTCACAGCACAGCCATGCCGGGAGGGTGAGCCCCCACTCCTGCCCTGGCTCACACCCGGCCTGCAATGCTCTTCACCGATTCATATGGTGAGTCTAGCCTCCCCCCCGAAGCCAGGGGGCTTCCGAGGACCGGGCCTAGGTCCTCCCTGCTCCTCTGTCTCCCCAAATTAGGGGTTCTTACGGCAGGGCCCAGGTCTCCTATTTCTCTTCTTCCTCCCGGACAGCAGGGCCTGGGTCTCTCCCCGGGACCCCAGCCTCCGTGCCCTCTGCCCGCGCCAGGGCATAGCCAAGTGTCTCCACTTTACAGAGAGGAAGGGAGAGGGATAGAGAGTTAGAAACATCGATGGGAGAGAAACATCGACCAGCTGTCTCCTGCACACCCCCTACTGGGGATATGCCTGCAACCAAGGTACATGCCCTTGACGGGAA